CATGACAGTTTTTACTGTTTTTTTTACAGGGATGCTACTAGTGTTGGTTTGATTAAGGTTCGTGATACTTACCCCTTTGGAGTGGATCCAGGTTGGCATGGTAGCCGTAGTGAGTTGCCTTTCCTGAACTCGCTAAAGATGAAAATGTCAATCCTTCTTGGGGTGGCTCAGATGAACCTTGGAATTATTTTGAGTTATTTCAATGCTACATTCTTCAGTAATAGTCTGAACATCTGGTACGTCTGATATGCCAATTCAGATCTTAGCCTTTGCATATTCTGGAGATGTTGACGCCATAGCTAACTGAAAGGCTGTCTTTCCTCATATGTTGCTCAGGTTCCAATTTATTCCCCAGATGATATTTCTTAACAGTCTATTTGGCTATCTTTCTCTCCTTATCATTGTTAAATGGTGAACTGGTTCACAAGCTGATTTGTACCACATACTGATATACATGTTCCTCAGTCCTACTGATGAATTGGGTGAAAATCAGCTTTTTCCTGGCCAAAAAACAGCTCAGGTTATTTTTTCGTTCTTTCTTTTAATTAATTAATATCATTTGTTGGATTAATCTACATCTATAACTTAATATTCTTGTTCATTTCTTTCCAGCTTGTGCTATTATTACTTGCCCTGGTTTCTGTGCCATGGATGCTATTACCAAAGCCTTTTCTTCTAAAGAAGCAACAAGGAAAATGTATTTGTACTCCTCTCTCAATTTCTTGTTGAACCTATTTTAACTTTTTTTTTTCACCCTGTTTCCCTTGCCCTTTTTAGAGGCACCAAGGCCAATCCTATGCACCACTTGAAAGCACAGATGAAACTCTCCTTTCGGAGGCAAATCATGATTTTCATGGTCATGATCATGGGGAGTTTGAATTTGGTGAAGTCTTTGTCCATCAACTCATACATACCATAGAGTTTGTGCTTGGTGCAGTTTCAAATACAGCCTCATACCTTCGATTATGGGCCCTCAGGTATGTCCTCAGTAATTTCAGTTGACGCTTAGACTCTATTTGTTTTTGGTTGAATATAACTCCATCTCTTTGATGTACATTGTTTTCTGCATGCACAGTGCCTTGTAGAAATGTGTAAACGACCGAGCCTTTAAGTTGACACATTTCTACAAATGTTCATTTATATAAACGTCGTCGCTATTTGATTTTGGTTGAATATAACTCCATCTCTTTGATGAACATTGTTTTGTGCATGCACGGTGTCATGTAGAAATGTGTGAATGATCGAGCCTTTAAGTTGACACATTTCTACAAATGTTCATTTATATGAACGTTGTCCGATTTAAGTTAAGCCTAACTGCAAACTGCACTTTGTTTCTTCTTTCTGTTTTGCAGTCTTGCTCACTCAGAGTTGTCAGTTGTGTTCTATGAGAAGGTTCTTCTTCTTGCTTGGGGGTACGTCTTGCACATATTCCATGCTTATAAAATTTCAACCCAAATATATATAGACTTTATCTTATGATATTTATTACTCTCTCATGTTTACATATCTTCTTTTTCATTCAATGAGTTTATAGATCTAGAAGCATATGGAATGCATGATGATAACTTGCTTTTTGCTTCCTACAGGTTTAACAATGTAATCATCCTCATTGTCGGCATAATCGTCTTTATTTTCGCAACCGTTGGTGTGTTGCTAGTTTTGGAAACCCTAAGTGCTTTCCTACATGCTTTGCGACTTCACTGGGTAGAATTCCAGAACAAATTCTACGAGGGCGACGGGTACAAGTTCCATCCATTTTCATTTGCATTGCTCGACGATGAAGATGATTGATGCTCTTGAATTGAATAAAAAATTATGTTGATGAACTGTGAGTGTGGATAGGTAAGAAGTTGTGTTGATTTTTTTATTTAAACATGACGAGAAGTCGATCCAGATTCCCCCTATAGGGGGAGTTGAGGAGGCGTTCTTAAGCCGCCTAAGAGCACTCCATTTTGCCCCTCCAGTTGATAATAGTTTGTTCTTGGTAGCAATAAGTGGCCTACTAGTTGGGCTGCCATGTTTGTCGTATTGAGTTGTGTCATAAAACATTATTTAATTTATTTTTCTATTTAAACTCTATAAAAATAGATTATGTGGTTTTGCTCTTAAGGTATTAATTTGCAATTGATATTGATGATTAGTTGATTGTAAAATCTAAATTAATTTCTTGTTTTTATAATCCACCCTGGAAGATAGCAGAAGAATTCATGGTTCAATTAGTTCATGCAGATTGTTTGGGATTTGAATTTTAGGTTAGATTTTGGCTTTGGACTTTGTCTCTTTATTGTGCTGAAATTTAATATATTGTCTATTTTAATTTTACATAATTTGATCTATTTTTTATCCCCTTCTGCCTCTATCATGCTCTTAAAAACCCGTAGAAAAGACACGTTACTGTTTTCATTGCAATTGTTAATGGTTATGAACTAATTAAATAATATATTTATTATTTGATTTATGCAAAATAAAATTATTTCTGAAGATATGTTATTAAAATATAATTTTATTTATATTATTTAGTGTAAAATGATTTAAGAATATATTTTTAAAATTGCATTTTGAAATATTTTTAAACAAAATTGAAAGATATTAGCATGAAAGTTTATAGAATTTTTTATTACGCTGTTATTTGATTTTACAAGTTATTAATACAATTAATATATTATATAATAGCGGAAAATGTATATATTTTAAAATTAATATATACAAATTATTATGGTGTTATTTAGTGTAAAATGTAGATATTTTAAAATGTAGATATTATTACGCTATTATTTGATTTTACAAGTTATTTGTAAGTTGAGTTGGCAATCTCAGAAACAGGTTTCAATTCAAGATTCAGGTTTAACCCGCCTTGTCTAAATTATTTATTTTTATTTAAAAATAAAATAATAAAAATATAATTTTATATTAATATTTATATATTTTATAATTTTAAAGTTAATAAGAATGTCTTTAATTTATTTAAATTAATTTGGACTGGTTAGACCAGTTGCCTGACTTATAAACCAAAAAAACTTAATTAAAAGGATGAAATTGATAAAATAATAGGACTTTAAGAATAAAATTATTTAAAATGTTAAGAATGCTATATCATTTTAGAAAAAAAGGTAATGGCAGTACTTTTGTATTCTCAAATGATAATTTTATTTTTCTTTTATATTATCACCATAAAAGATATTACACAATTAAACGAGATAATATCATTTTCATTAATACAATATTACCCAAATCGATCACATTAATTTAACTTAAATTTTAATATCAGTAAGAAACAAGCAGTAGTCTACTAGTCTCAAAAAGATTGATTAGATTAATTAAAATAATAGCTTTTCGACGGTGCCTTCTGGCGATCGAATGAGAGATCGCCGGATAATTATTGGGTGATTGTTGGGCGACAGTATTGGATTTATAATATAATATTTTTTGACGAGTTTTTCGACGAATTTTATTGTGAGTTACGATCTCCGACAGTGACTATTGCTCATGACCATTCTTAACTTAAATAATTTACAAATCTTAATTCTAAATAAATTAAATCGCATAAATTAATTATTATTTTTAATAAAAATATAATTAAATTATAATTCTATGAAAAGTAGAATTAAATTTTAATTAATGATTAATTTTAAATAAATCTTTATACCTTTTAATATTTGCATAATAAAGAAAAAATTGTTTGTATATTTCGATACATCACTTTAGTGGTACGTTACGGTACGCGATAAGCACCGTAGACTCTTCTATTTTTTATAATATATGAATCTATTAGTTAAATATAGTGAGAAATGATACAGCTGAAGATTTAAATTTTAAATAGTTCAAAGTTTGTCGTCTCAAACCATAAAGAATTAAAAATTAGATGTAAAAGTGTATTTAAATTCATTAGTTGTTGATAAAAGTAAATAAAACTCGACTCAACTTAAAAAAATATTTTTTCGATTCGATTCGAATTAATTTTTGATTCGTAATTCATAAATTCAAATTGACTAAAAAAATTAAATTCAAGTTAAATTATAAAATAAAATTCGAATAACTCGAATAATAACTATTTTTTTGTAATTAATAAATTGATTTTTAAGTTTGAATTGAGTATTAATTTTGTATTATATATATATATAATAGTATCATAATAATATAAATATCTACAATTTAATTTAAACAAAAACTCAAATAACTCAATTAGACTCAAAAAAAATTAAATAAAATTTAAGTTATAAAATAAAACTTATCAAACTAACCTATCTTGACTTGATCAAACGTTTACACTTAGAGATGAGTTTAGTCAAGTGATCATGCATGTGATTCTTTGAATGCGGCGTGTCAACTGGAGTTTCTCGCTTTTGATCATTTCGTACTTCATTTTTACCTTGTTGAGGCCCGTCGATTGTTTTACAGTGACTCTCAAATCGCAGTCCGACATATTTATCGATCAACAAATGGTGCAGTTCACTCTCTAGCCACTCACGTTTGCAGTTCTTCTGTGCCATTATTTTTCAATTATGCTTATCCGGATTATATTTCTAACGTTATTATTACTGCCACTATTTCTGGTTAATGAATGCACAATTTATTATAAAAAATAGTGAATAATTTTTTTAAAAATATTTTGGTTTAAAATCTTCAATATTTTATTTTGATATTTCATATTAGTACACAAGTATCTGTCAACACTGCCATTTTCATCTTTCGCTGTCTTCATCTTCCATTCTCAAGCCGAGTAATTTGTTTCTCCTCTCTTTTCCTCGTCTTTTTCTCCCTATATTATTTTATTCTTCATTTCTTTAATGGGTCTATGTTGAATAATTGACCATCTCTAGAATAATTATTATCCAGAAACAATAATGGAGGAAAAGGGAGACCTACATCTCGAGAATACGTACAAACAAACATATTCAGGGACATAATATTTTATTTAATAAACGAATTTATAAAATTTTAAGAAAAAAATAGATTATCAATAAAAAAATATCTAGAATATATGTGAATTTAAAATTTGCAGGGGTGATGACAGTTATGATCCATCACTAAACACATTGTTCACTCCCACTGACCGACCTCAACACGATATAAACAGAGCATAAGTTTTCAAACCAGTTTATGTCGACTCAAGGATTATGAACTACGAGGTTATGGATTCGTCTCCACTCCTACTGCATCGTGACTGAAATGCTAGGTTTTGTGTACTTTTCTCATTCACCTCCGGCGTCGTTTTGTATCCACCTGAAACATGATTAAATGATGATGTTTACAGTTAAATAATACATACCAGCTGAAGAATATAGTAATACTATCAGCACTGTTGAAACAGAAACTTAAAACATAATAACAGGCAGCCATGGAAGTGGAATAGGAATTCTGCAACTTGTACTTCTGACCTTCAGAAGAACAACTCTCGCAAAAGAAGTGGTCAAGTCTTTTGGCTTCCTCCGCCGTCATTTCTATACAAGCAGAATGAAACCTGAATCAAAAAGTAGTACGCTGAATATGGCGAGCATGTTTCAATAAAGCGTACATGTCTCTTAATAACACAAAATACGAACAATGAAAAAAACTAGAGATTTTCCTACTTCGACACTATCTGGTTCTTCTCTTTTAAATCAACCAACTCAATGCCAATATTTCATGATTTATAAATTCATAGCCATTCGAGTGAAAGCCGTATCTAAGGAAAAGATCATGCATCAAAACAATTTATATCAACACGATTAACTACACAGACAATATAAAGTCTTAAAAGCCTATATAACATGACCAAATCACCCCAGCCCCTCTTTCCTTTCTCCCCATGCAGGCTGCAAAGGATAAATAAATTCAAGCTTCGGTCGAGCACCATGATGTAACCTTATGACAGAGAACCATGTGTCCCGCCTCTTACGTTTTTTTATGTCTAACGAAGGACAACGAAGACTTCAGTTACATCACGAGTTATAAATGCCCTTCCTACAAGGAGCTTCTTTAGAGGTATTTGCTTAAAAGGAAACCCTAATTAAACCATAACCATACTAGCATTCTATACAGGGATGAATCGTGTAGGAGCAGTCGGACGCTGTCACCTCCCCTTCGCTCGAAAATTTATAAGTTTATCTCATTAACATAAAATTTTGCGTCCATCCTTGATTTTACGTACCAAAAAATATATAAAACATCTGTTTCCCTAGCAGAAAAAGAGAGGAAGGGACCGTGGCAGATGCACGCCTAAGTTGTCCACCCTAAAATTTTATTGGTTGTGCGTTCGTCAATTAGTTACTCATTTTATTGATTGTCTACCTGAAATTTTATTTATACTCATTCCATACAAAAATTTTGTTTGACTAATATATATGTGTCCATCTGAAAAATATTACTGAATCTGCCACTATGAAAGGGATCATAGTTCCACTATAGGGTCAAACTTTAGAACTTGTGTAACCATATTTTTGCTTCGGTCACAAGTACTGGCAGCTAAAATAATATCATTTCCAATCTTCCTTAAGAAGCACCTGCTGTTAAATGACAACTAAAACACTAGCCTATCTGCCGCTCTATCGAACATTTTAATGTCCTTGAATAGATAAAAGAGAACGGATTTTATACAACTATCTTCACAAGCATCCAACTTACTTACCAGTCACTGCAACCTTCACACTGAACCATTAGATCATCAGGATTGTAAGGCATCTCGCATTTGCAATAACTGCCACAATACAATCACAAAGGTCCAAAAAAATTAAATAGAATAACTAAAACCCAAAGTTGGACAACACTACATTAAATTGTTTGCTTGATCTAACCAGTTCATTCCAAAAAGTCCGTCATTTAGATGAACAAAATTTCAATAATTTTAAGTAGGAAACACTGAACTCATAACCATTTTGAAATGTGAATTTAAGTAACCCAAAGCCAACTCATAAATAATAAAAATAATGTGTATGACTATATTGTAAGTAGAATGTCAATTTAACCCGAAACCAACACCAACGGATTTTGATTCAATGCGATTTGATAGTCTTTTTTTAATAAATAAATCGTGTTCAAATAGGGTTTAGGTCAGATTTTATATAAGGTGGGATCGGTTTGGGTCGGGTTTGGGTGGAGTGTGAAAAATCTCAGACCTAACCCGGGGTAAGTGTAATTTTTCATATAAATTTATGGATAATTACTATACTACTCCCTCTCTCTATATATATATTTAATTAGATTCTTATTTTACACTAGATTAGGTCGGGTAGGATTGAGTTATACTCCAAAAATTCGGGATTGATCAAGTCCGGATAGAGGAAATATGCTCTTCGGTCCGATCATGTCGGATAAAGGTTATATGTTTTCCAAGTTGGGTTGAGTCAGTGGAGATATATATTTTTCGGTTCAAATCGGATAAGTTGATTTTTTTAATTTTTGTCCATATCTCCAAAAATGTCCTAGACAACTCTGACTAACCCTGTGTACATTATGTACGAGTAAGCAAATTTAACTTGACATTTTTCCAAATATAAACTAATCAAAGTATTAAGATATGAAAGCACTAAAATTTTCGACCATAATGCTCAAAATGCACGATTTAAGCAATTGACATGCTAATTATTCACACAAATTAAACCAAACATTAAGCATAAAAGAAATATAATATTTTATTTTCCAATATTCAAGTCAACCTTAATTAACTTATATTGACCAACTTAATCTTACTCGAGCGATTAACTGATGAAAATATCATTAGAGATAAATTAACATTGACAAGACAATTAACTAAAGTTATGGAAGTATAAAATTTGAGGGGGCGGGAAGAAACACATATGAACTCAGAAATCAACCATTTATAAAAAAAAAAAAGTAAAAGAAGAAAGAAAAAAGACATACACGGCCACGCGGTCCGGGTTGAAAGCACCAGTGCAGGAATTATATTCGAAACGACAGAAGAAATCATCATTCCCGACTGCCTCAAGCTTGGTGTAGTTCTTGAAACTATGGACCGTACACTTTCCTTCTATGGTATCGGCGCTTTGCACGTCGTAATGATCAGACAAAAAGAGCTCCTTAGATCCATGGAACTGTCTCCGCCCTCCAATCGACTCCTCCGGCCTGTAGTACCACCTGGCAAGCACCTTCACATTTCGCCCACGTGCGTCAACATCGATCCGCTCGATTCTTGCCACGTATTGAGGGTTTGACTGATCCGCCGGTCTCATCAACACGCAATCCCCAGCTGCCAAACACCACCACAACTTTTTAGGAGGAAAAATAAAAGGAAAAAAACTTAATCCTTAATTTCTCACTTTTTTTTCATTTACTTTGGCCTACCTTTAATTGTTTTGCTGATGTGTTTGACTGTGTAAGACTCTAGGGGTCTCCTCGGAGCTCTAACTTTGGCCATGGAAGAAGAAGAGATAACAGAACAAAGGAAACTAAACGGCAATTGTTTCAGAGAAAATACAATACAGACTACAAAGGCATGCACAAGGACAAGAGAGAGAGTAAATTTGCAAGATTTTCAAGATGTAGGAGTGGAGCGTGTGTGAGACGGTGAAGCTTTATGTTTAAAACGGGTGAAGTGACTATTTTTACGAAACTAGAGTTGCTTCGCTGTATTGTTGCCACGTAAATGTTTCTGGAAAGTAAATCATTTATGATAGTGCCACGCAAGCTTTCTTGGAAGCTTTCTGTCTTTTACCACGCAGTATTTTTCGAACTTATCTCTTCGAAAGGATAAAAATGTGTGTGCTTTTATAAATAGAGAAGTCACGGTCCAGTAAAATTTAGATTACGGTTCAAATAATACTCAATTGACTGATAGTTTTTGGTGTGCGATATTTAATTTAAAATTTATTTAAGATAATTATTAATTTAAAATATTATTTTTTAACTTAAAAATTAATATAAATTTATAATATTTTTAGTAACAATTGAAAATTTGTATTATAAGGTTCAGGTCTTACAGTAAATTTTTTTAATAAAAAATATAATATTTTTGTTTGTCGAAAATATTAGTATATTCAATCTAAAAAGTTGACATCGATAAAATTTTTGATTATAATATTTCTTTTAAATTTTATAATAATAAATTATATTTTAGAATTTTCATCATTTCATCCAGAAAATAGATTTTATAAACCAGGAATAGTATTATTGAAACAACATATATTAAAGAACTAACGTCATTAAACGGACCTGTTAAGATAATAGAAGCAAATACAATTATTTTAGATAGTATAAGATAATTATAAAATAATCAGAATCTTTTAATAATATATATATTCTACATATGTAATTACTCAAATATAAAATATATAAAAATAATAACATTATCTTTTATAATATTTTAAATAATCATAAAATTAAGTATAAATATTAGGGTAGTTACAACATATGTCAGTTATTAGTAAAATTGAAAATAGGTGTTTTAAATTTTAAAAGGTATAAATTAATCATTTAATTTATTGATTTTTATAAATAAAGTCATTGGACCGTTAAATATTAAAAACTTTCTAATGTGTATTATTTTATTTATTAAAAAAAACAATTTTCAAAATGTTACAATCAACTCAATTAAATGATTATAACAATTGAACTACCAAATTAATTGATTTTAATAATAAGGTCATGTGTTAACATGATGATCATCGTTCGATTGTCGTATTTAGTGGCCGATATTGTCATAAATTTACATTGATCTCATCATTCAATTTTATCTTATTAAAATCTTTCTTAAAATCCATGACATCATCCTAAACCTTCTAAACTTCAATATATTTCATTTAGCATCAGATGGCGTCTATCTCATAGTATGTACATCTCACCAACGACAGTCTCCCTATTATTCAGATTGTTGAATGGCTCCGAACTTTGAGGAATCCAAAACTCGAAATAAATTTTCTTTTACAATTAATTGAGTGACTTATTTATGACTTTTTGAAATTGGATGACTTATTTATAATCTTAAGAATAATTGTGTGACTCATTTACAATCCTACAAAATCATAGAATGAGTTTGAGCATTTAATTCAATTAATTGATGTTTGATCTTTTTAAAAGAATATGGTCTGAATTTCGGAATTTATTGATTAATTTATTTTATTATTTTATTTTTACCTTATTTTTGAAAAAAGAAACCTTTTGAACCTTCTAATAAATAATCCAAAGGAGGTTGAGGGGATATTCTTTCGTTTATCCCTGAGCAATGTCTGCATCAAATGTATAGGATTGTAAATGAAATGAGAGAAATTAGAAGTTACTCAATATTGATTTGATTAATGACTTGAAGGGAATTATTTGAAGAAAAAAATATTATTAATATTCATATGTTTTTTAAAATATAATATAAAACTTTTTTTATTTAAAGTTCAAGTTTCTTATTTCAAGTTTTTTTGAGTCAAATTGAACTCCAATTCTTTTATTTCAAGTCAAATTTAAAAATTTTAAGCTTGTGAATTTTCGAGTTTAATCTAATCTTAGGTTTTTATTTTAAGTTCGAGTAGACTTTGACAATTTTAAGTTCACGAGTATTCAAATCAAGTCGAACTTAATTTGAAATTCTTTTAATCGAGTCAAGCTCAACAATACTCTCTCAACTCGACTCGTTTACATACCCAGTGGAGTATATGCCATTGATACCAACAAAGATCCTTCAAACATTTTTTTTTCACAGAATATTTTCAAGAGAAAACCAGTTCCCAGAGCAAACAACTCAATAGCTTGTTTTTACCATACGGAATATTCAACAGTATCATGTTACAAAGTACACAAAATTGTTAACATAGTACAAAACTTGTATAGCAATTGCATAAGCATCAAAGTGCTCATCTAATATTCTCATTTCATTTCCCCCTAAAAGATGGATATGGTCAAGATATGCTAAAAACTGGTTATAATCTGCTAAAGTAATTAAGCTTGAAACCACCTTCTAAGCTTCTTAGAACCTTGTTTTTCAGCCTCAGGTGTTGATTTCGGATGTGAGAACTTAGATCTGTATTGTTCGATTAGCATATCGAGTTTGTCTACCACATCTCTCCCTGATGGATCTTTATTCCTTCCTGGCCTTTTTCTTTTTGAATTTGCCTCTCCCTCCTCCCGCTTTGCCTTCACTTGTCGTGTCCTCTCTTTTGGCTGAGCAATTGCTTCCACCTCTTTTGATTTTAATTTGCGGGTATCATTAACATTTGTTTCAACCTTGACAGAACCTCCAATAGCAGGCTTTCAGCTGGCTTTGCGATCCTCGGGTTTATGATTTGATCCTTTCACCTTCTGATTGGAGCCTTCCAAATTTTCTTTCGAAGATGGTTGTCTTTTCACCAGTCAGTTTATGCTTTGGCTTCTTACTATCTTGGCCTTCTCCAGTGGCAACTCTGTTTTCCATCTCAGCCTTGTTCAACTCTGAATGTTTAGTTGCCCTTTTCTCGTCTCTGGATTTCCGTTTTCGGGATTTGTTAGGCTGATCGCCAAACAGATGTGATTTTGCTTTTTCCTGTGCATTGTTCAAATTATCACTGGCATCTTGCTGCTGAGCTTGTATCTTGGCTTTCCTCAGCTTCAATGTCTGCACATTATCGACAGAAAATTCCACTATTGGGCGATGCACTGGACCAAATGTTTCTACAAACAACCAATTACAATTTGAGATTATAAATAGAAAAGAAACAATATAATTAACTTTTTCACCCTAGCAAGATATTGAGAAAAAAATGATAAATCTAGCATCAAAATTACAGCCATCATACAAATGAGATATACCAATAGGGACTCACCTGGATTATTGTTGAGAACCCTCAAAGCAACAAGTGCATGCTGATGTTCAGTAAACTCGATAAAGGCAACCCCACACGACTGGTTTTAACAACAATCCTTCCCTTCACAGTTTTCAAGAACTTGATCTGCATGTCAGCACGAGTAGTATCAAATTTAAGACTTAAGGTAGCACCCTGTATATGCAGAAAACTATAGAAAAGAATTAAAAGAAAAAAAACACTTTCATAACAGATTAACAACTTTATCTAACCTGTCGTATTTCGGGTTTTTGCTTTGTAGCTCGTGAGGTAACTGCATCAATACAAAGTTGTTTCAATTCGTTTTCAGTCATGGACTTCGGCAAATTATATATAACAAGTCGTGTCCTCGAAACATGGAAATTCGGAGACTAAAGCTTGGTCATCTTTTTTTTCATGTAACCTGCATGGCATCCGAAACGCCTTGGATAAATAATAAAGGAAAGTTAAGTTTCACAAGAGAATCAGCAGGACCATCAAGAACCATCATTATCGAGTTGCTTTCAAAAATTAAAGCTAGTTCAATGATTTTGTAACATGCTCAAACATTCTTTTTCATATAAAAAGAATAAATGTGAAACATTCAGAAAACAAAATCTACTATTCCGTTTTTTGCTATCCATTTAAATCATTCCTGGTCAAACCAAAGACCTTCAATGTTCTTCAACATACTTCTAAGTATGTGGAAGAATATGAAGGGAGTTTTTAATGAGATCTCCAACTTCTATCAAAAAAAAATTCCTGGTCAAACCAAAGACCTTTTAACTACACAAGCTGAGATAATAGCACCCATTTGCGTTGTGCAGCAGATAGGTCGAAGAAATTTGTGTCAGTATCCGACTGATAATATCAGGGGAAACAAATAAAACCAATCCTTACATTTTTGCGTATTTCATATCACTGGCGGAAACATCTTTAGCTGCTGGTGTCCCCTCAACTATAAGTCCTTCCTATTAAGTCATATAAACGTTAATGTCACTATACTACAAACACAACAAATTAACGGAAATTCAATTAAATGTCCAGTAAAGCAACCTTTGCCGAGTACAGGTTACGCTGGTCATGTTCCTCAGCTTTGGCCCTCTCCAATTCTTTATTATGTGCTGATTTCCGATCCAATGCCTTCAACACTTTGAGCTGCCTACCTTTGAGAAAAATACCCAAGCCAGATGCAGCATTTGCTGCTAAAACTGTTGCAACAGCAGCATCTATAGTTTTAAACTTGAGAAAACCAGTTCCTCTCGGTCGCCTGCCAGGGGAGCACAAGAACAATAAGTATTTACCGATTTAAGGAGTAAGACAGTAAAACATTTCAAACTATTTAGAGTCAATACTTGGTAACTGGATGGAGGACAGGAATAAAGGATTGCACTGCTCCAAATGCAGAAAACCTTTCTTTCACTTCTTTATTGTCAATGTCAAACGGAAAATTGTTTTCTGTAGTTCATCTTCGCCATCGATTTCTTTATTTTTGCCAGATTTTTCAGCTTTAATCGCATCTGATTCTTTTCCAGATTCAACAGGTAACTTATCTTCTACATCAATGGTTTCATCTACATTCATCTTCTCTTCCCCGTTGGGCAGAATGGAATTATCTTGGAGAGGAAGAGAATCCTTACAAGAGGATGTCACCAAGTTATCCAGCACTCTCCTCGCAATGTCTACTTCCTTATCAAAATCTAGCGTTATTGGTGTCCTTTCCATATCTGACATATCCGAGTCATTTGAAGCAATACCATCATCACTA